ATTGTCATCCAGCTTCTCCATGAGGCGTTGGACCTGACGGCACAGCGACGGGCAATAGGGACGATAGGGACGTGACCAGCAAAAAATGGGGCTTTTCACTATAGTGAAACATGGGAGATCATGGGAGTCATCATGATTTGCCACTGACCCTCCTTGGACAATTTTTGTCAGCATTGCACGCTGTCACCTCATCAGCTTAATAAATTTGACATTTAAGAAACATAAAAGAGAGGGAATAGAGTTCTCCCATCCAACACTTGGACGTACAAGTAGCCTTGGATTGCAAACATGAGCTTGGAAACCAATTCATCCTCCACCTAAATCGACAAACACTGAATGACTTAGCTTCAGGCATCCTCCACATCAAAGGTATCGACAATCTTGACCTGCGGAATTGAGCTAGCATTCGCAAAAAGATGTCCTAACTGACATTGAAACAACTTTGCAACTTTCGATTTGCTCTTTTGGCAACTGGAGCTGTGAATGTGCCAGCTGCCTACCCAAACTTCCTTGGTGATTCTCTTGCACAATTTCCACGAGTGCGGTCAACAGGTTGATACAATGAAATATAATTGAACAAGCTTCTTGTTCAACGTCTGCCTTGGCAAAGTCAAAAACCCAGCAGACTCAACCGACATTGTTGCAGACTCGTTGATGGCGACAGCTTGATGAATGACATGTTTCTGACTCCACTGGGAGCTAGTTTTGTTTGAACCTTCACTCCATAGCATGGTAGCATTGTGGCACGCCTTGGGAATGGCAAAGAGTTCGGTCCATCCACGTTTGGTGCCACGATCCTGTCAGCTGCGGGCGATTCCAGTTCCAGCTAGGGAAAGACGCAAAGGAAGCAAGGCATCCGGAGCATGCGATACAGTTATACACAGCCATTCCTTTGGCACAGCAGATCCAACATGATCCAACCGAGCCCAGAACATCCAGACCATAGCCCACCAGCCAAAGATCAGGCCTCAAAACATCACGGAGGAAGTGGATCCAAATGGATCCAAGCTTCATGAGCTTCATGAGATCATGAAATTGATGGTACAAGATGGTACAATGTTATCAATGTTCTCTTACATCATGATCATCTATTCATTTACATTAATATACGTTATATGATATGATGTTGATATATGTTGATATGATATAAGTTATAAGATATAAGAAGAACTTTGAATTGCGATCATGAGTCGTTTATAGTTTGCCAAGCCCGTGTTTGGCTTAAGACTGGTGGGGGGGGGTCCGGAGGGGGGGGGGGGGGTGCACGGCAAGGTGCTAAAATTTCAAAAATAGGTGCTCAAATTTAAGGAAATAGGTGTTTTTTTGAAGAAACCGGGTCGGGATCCAGTCGGGACCCAGTCGGGACCCAGTCGGGACCCAATCGGGCACCAATTTTTGCATTTTTGGGCACCGCTTTTGGCCAGTCGGGATCCAGTCGGGATCCAGTCGGGCACCAATTTTCGAATTTTTGGCACCACGTTTGGACCTGTCGGGAAGCAGCCAAAATCACCGAAAAACATGCAAAAACACTGCAAAAATGCTATTTTTTATGAATTTGGCTGCCTCCCGACATTGGTGCCCGACTGGATCCCGACTGGATCCCGACTGGATCCCGACTGGCCAAAAGCGGTGCCCAAAAATGCAAAAATTGGTGCCCGACTGGGTCCCGACGGGATCCTGACTGGATCCATAGATTGGCAAGAACCCACTCCCGCACCTATTTTTCCCTTCCCAGACCCACCCTTGCCCCTTTTCCGCGCACCAGCCGTGCACCAATACCCCCCCCCCCTCCTGCACCAAAACGGTAAAAGCAGTCTTAAGCCAAACGGGGGTTCTACAATTTATAGTCGTTTTATCTCGCGACCAACTTCTTCACCCCATTCATGATCTTCATGTTGTGTAGTAGTATCGAGTATCCCATCATTCAAGGATCCTGTTGCCCCTGAGTGCAAAACAAATTTCTCACACCAATGATGTCTGCCTGATCAGGAAAGGAGGATCCTGTTGTGTCCTTTTGGCTGCATGTTGGACTGATCCGCTTTCTTCCGCAACTAAAAAATCTCTGGCATCACTTGACTCTAAGCCAGAACTCAATCGGATTACTCCAAGGGCATCATGTGCACGAATAAACAGTGTGGACAACTTGCCAACTTGCCAAACGTCATGGACACGAAGTGAATGCTGCACTGTAACCTATATTTGCCCAACCTCTGGCCACTCGCGTTGCCGCTGCTTGCTCAGCAGGCACACAGTCAAGACCTTGACTTGCCGACAGCACATGCCCGCTCAACAGCACAACAAAACAGTTTTTTCATGTCAGGGCGGGATGCGTCATAGTGCAACAGAATTTTAGCCCAACAGGATATGAACGCATACACCCTAAGCCAACCAAACTGGACCAAGCCACATCATTCTCTGTGTGCGTTGCCGAGAGCCTTGAGAGAAAGAACTCCTTCATTTCCTGTCACATTGCCGCAGTTGAAACTCAAAATACCCTCAGAAGACCCATCTCTGGCATTCTCTGGCGATCAAGGATAATATAGGAAGCCCATCCTTCAGGAATACCTCAACAATTCTCAATATTTCCCAGTACCGTCCAGTTCCATATTTTTAGTTCGTCAGGAGGAAAGCGCCCCACCATCGCGCTCATGAATTCTGATCTAGACGTCACTAGACGTCTAGAAAAATGATCTCCTCGCATCTCCTTGCAGATTCCCTAAGTCACTGTTGGGTTAGGCAATCTGCTTCAACATCTGCCACCTCCCAGCTCCCTATAGATCCTACAGATCCTGCAACATCGCCATCCGTCCTGCATCGTCTTTCCATTGTCCAGCAGCTCGTCCACTAAGACCACCTGAACGAAGTCCGCCCCATGTCATCCAGCTGATTTTGGAAAAAAAACATGACGCCTCCCTAGTTGATGCACTGTGCATCCCCATCCATTCACACAAGAATTCTTGGCCGTACTCCTACTTATCCCTCCTTATCCCTCTTTATCCATCCATTCCTTCTCCATTTCACTCGTTCATCTGGAACACGAAACGAAAACGTCGGAAAACGTCACTTAAAACACGCGGTTTTTTTCGGAACGCGGCACGGGGGCGCCTTATGTGGTGCTTTGGTCGTGGTGTCACAGAACTTGGAGCTGGCCACATCGGGCCCTGAGATCTCCACACTGCCTGCACTGATGCTGATTGAGGGGGAAAACAAAACCCGCAAAGAAAATGGGAAAACAACCGCCATAGGAAATTTCTAGAGGATATCTTCAAATAGGAATAGAGGGAAATAGAGGGAATATGTCTGAGAAGGAATATCATACTTAGCCAGCGTGTTGACGATTTTGATTGTAGTGGTTGTACCACCCTGGACTCTTGCTCTCGCACCCGGTGATTGTCGATACACACTCTGCCTGATTGGGATCGCTTCTCCTTGTACGAGGACGCCTCGTCACCACTCAGTTCATGCTGTAGATTGGCACCAGACATGCTGAAAGAGGAGAAAATAATCATCTCACCATATCAACATCTCTGTCACCTCATGATACAGCATACCTATATATAATATGGAAGTTTCTCAAATCATGAAGGATCCCCAAGGCACCATGGCTTTGTACCCCCATGACGAGTAGGTTTTCGGAAACCTCGCTGTCTTAGCTCTGCGCCTCGATGAAGTACACCGAGTAAGGTCCTCACAGCTCCCGGTCTACTCAGTGGCAACAAACATGACCAGAAATGGTTGAATCGCTGGAAGTTTTGAATGTTTGGGTACTTCGAAATTCCATGAGAGTCCTTCGTTTATTGTCGCGTACTATATCTTAATATCATCTATCAATTATCTATCATATTTTATCATCATGATCATGTATCCACCTTTGCTTGATGGCAACGAAGATTCTCATCTCCCGTTGGTGATTGCAACTGGATCCAACGGAACTGGCCGAGGCAAGGACGAACCAAATTGCGGCCTTGGCGCGGCCATGTGAGGCAACGTCTTCACTTCAGTAATGGGGTGATTTCTTGTCAGATAGTGCAAAAGATCACAAACTCTCACTTTCCAAACTGACTCACGGCATGCTCAAAGCAGCAACTTTGGCCTTTGTCCTCAACAAGTTGTTGCGGAGGTTCTTTTGAGCTACCATAACTCCAACTCGCCAGATTCCAAGTGATTTCAGCTGAGTGGCACAAGTCGGAAAGGAACATGAAGGCACCCTTCAAAATGGCCACCAAAACGATACCTTGTCGCGGTTTTTCAGCGATGATCAGGGCGTTAAAATGGGCGGCACCAGGAAGATGGGACAATGTCCATCATCTCCAGTGATGGGTCCCTAGCAATTATATCCAATTATCACGTCAGATTGGGATAACAATCAAGCGACAATGTAATATAATGTAGATGTGGGTCAAAATGGAAGACCTAGGGGACCACAGATGTTAGTCTAGTTTAGTATTAACCATCCATAATTTTGGGGTACCTAATTTTGACCCATACCCATGTAATAATGTAATAACCATTTCCCTAATGTCACAAAAACCATCCCTCCATCCCCCCAGTTCAATATTGTTCAATGGTAGCACCAGGCGTCCACACGCTCGCCCTTACACCAGGTCTCAATGCGCCGCGCAGCAATGCGGACGCCTGCCTCCCCAAGCACCATGGCTACTTAGGATTCCTACAAAACATAATTGGCATTAATTGGCTATGGGTGAAGCCTCTGTTGATCGAGGTGTGAACATCCTGAGAGGGGAATCGCAATCCAGTTCTTCTGAGTGGATGTTCAAGAAACATCCATTGCTACTTTCGACCGGGGCGGGCTTGAAAAGCCAACAAGTCATGAAATCATATTCCCATGACAAGCGGCCTACTACAGTACTCCTGATCATGAAATGTAACTCGATAAGCAGGAATCTACAGAAACACGCCTTGCGTTGCTTTGCAATATTGTAATATCTTATATGAAATCTCAGTTCTCGATGGTATTCTGGGACGGGGATAATGGTGCTTTATGGTGCTTGATGGTGCTTGATGGTGCTTGCAAGTGTTACGAGTGCGCGGGGGGCCTCGATTTCCTCCTTCTTGAGGATCAGTTTGTAGTTCTTCTGGTCCTGCAACACACCATTCCCTTCGCTCCAGACTTCACTTGCTGGGTTTGCACCAAACACAGCAATTCTGTCAACGTGTTTTCTCCGTTTGCTTCAGAGGCTCCTGCCTGGGTCAAGAGACTGTTACAAATGTCCGTGACTATACAAACTGTACAAAGTTTTAAAAAAGGTTAAAGCATATCAAACAAAGTCGAAACTTCATGCTGATGGTCTTTACCTTCAGCGCTGGGAAGCCTCCACAACATCTTTGAAGGTGTAGAAACCCTTGGCGGCAGCCACTGCATCCAATGGATTCACCTTCGAGAACATGTTGTTGGTGACCTGGGAATCAACGATGCCAGCCATGGAATTGTACACATCCATCACAGTTGTCGGCACGGATGCCACCAAGCGCCCAATGGCTGCATTCACAGCTTCGTAGTCGGCCGCAGACGTCACACCGGTGGCATCAATGCTGCCAATGGCCTTGTGGTGTGCCTCTGCTGCTGCCTTCAAGAGGTTGCCATCCATCTTGGCGCCCATCACGATCATCTTGTCAATCGCTTTCAGCGTCTCTGGGGCAGTCTTGCCGGGCAGCGGCTTCAGGTAAACGTCCGACAGCCAATCGATGTCCTTGATGAAAGGATATGATGCATCGGACAACGCTTTTGCAGCTACACCAATCTTGTCCCCAGAAGGCACAACTGCAGGAGCACTGGCGGTGGACACCTGGTTCTTCTCAACAACATCCTTGAATTCCAGGAATCCTTGGTAGGCCTTCTCGGCATCGGGTCCATTCACCAAGGACTTCATGTAAGCTGGCACTCCGGGGTCCGTGATGGCTGTCACTGAATCGTAAACGGCCATGACCTTTGCTTTTGGGACCGAAGCGACGATGCGGCCAATGGCTGCATTCACGGCATCCCAGTCAGCGCGCGAAGTCACACCATTTGGCCCGCTGATGCTCCCGATGGCCTTGTGATGTGCTTCTGCTGCCTCCTTCAGAAGCTTGGGATCTGCGGCTGCCCCCATTTCGATCATCTTGTCAATGGCTTTCAAAGCTTCCAAGGGCTGAAACTTGCCGGGGGCTTGCAAGAAAATGCCATTGTTCCAGTCCACTTCCTTGGCAAAGGAGTAGGAAGCATCCCCAAGTTTCTTTGCAGCATCGCCGATCTCATCAGCAAAAGCCGCAGGAGCCATCATCATGCTGGCTGCTGCTGCGGCCACTGGAGCAGCATGCCGAGGCCCAGGCACAAAATTCAAGTGCTTCTGCAGACCGCATGCAACAGCCACCGCAACTCCTACAGCAATAGCTTTCCTTGCTCCACGCACCATAGCCACCAAAAGTTCAAAAGTCTTAAAGTGGGCCGGAGTTGCTCAACAATTAGCCTCAAAAACTGGTTTGAGCCAAAGATGCGTATCCATAGTTCCTTAGCTCCCCCATATGCCCACCCACATGTTGGTGTTGAATCCCAGTAACTTGCAAACGAGTTTGCTCAATATGAAGTCTTGAGACTGGAAAACTCTGATTGTAGCTCCAACTGGCTCCCCATTTTTTCCATTGGCTCCAAAGGTTTCCGCCTGGTCAAGAAACATAAGAAACTGTTACAAATGTCAGTAACGATACAAGATTAAAAAAATGTTTTGAGGCATGTTGAAGCAATGTCGAAACTTCATGCTGATGGTCTTTACCTTCAGCGCTGGGAAGCCTCCACAACATCTTTGAAGGTGTAGAAACCCTTGGCGGCAGCCACTGCATCCAATGGATTCACCTTCGAGAACATGTTGTTGGTGACCTGGGAATCAACGATGCCAGCCATGGAATTGTACACATCCATCACAGTTGTCTTCGGCACGGATGCCACCAAGCGCCCAATGGCTGCATTCACAGCTTCGTAGTCGGCCGCAGACGTCACACCGGTGGCATCAATGCTGCCAATGGCCTTGTGGTGTGCCTCTGCTGCTGCCTTCAAGAGGTTGCCATCCATCTTGGCGCCCATCACGATCATCTTGTCAATCGCTTTCAGCGTCTCTGGGGCAGTCTTGCCGGGCAGCGGCTTCAGGTAAACGTCCGACAGCCAATCGATGTCCTTGATGAAAGGATATGATGCATCGGACAACGCTTTTGCAGCTACACCAATCTTGTCCCCAGAAGGCACAACTGCAGGAGCACTGGCGGTGGACACCTGGTTCTTTTCAACAACATCCTTGAATTCCAGGAATCCTTGGTAGGCCTTCTCGGCATCGGGTCCATTCACCAAGGACTTCATGTAAGCTGGCACTCCGGGGTCCGTGATGGCTGTCACTGAATCGTAAACGGCCATGACCTTTGCTTTTGGGACCGAAGCGACGATGCGGCCAATGGCTGCATTCACGGCATCCCAGTCAGCGCGCGAAGTCACACCATTTGGCCCGCTGATGCTCCCGATGGCCTTGTGATGTGCTTCTGCTGCCTCCTTCAGAAGCTTGGGATCTGCGGCTGCCCCCATTTCGATCATCTTGTCAATGGCTTTCAAAGCTTCCAAGGGCTGAAACTTGCCGGGGGCTTGCAAGAAAATGCCATTGTTCCAGTCCACTTCCTTGGCAAAGGAGTAGGAAGCATCCCCAAGCTTCTTTGCAGCATCGCCGATCTCATCAGCAAAAGCCGCAGGAGCCATCATCATGCTGGCTGCTGCTGCGGCCACTGGAGCAGCATGCCGAGGCCCAGGCACAAAATTCAAATGCTTCTGCAGACCGCATGCAACAGCCACTGCAACTCCTACAGCAATAGCTCTCCTTGCTCCACGCACCATAGCCACCAAAAGTTCAAAAGTCTTAAAGTGGGCCGGAGTTGCTCAACAATTAGCCTCAAAAACTGGTTTGAGCCAAAGATGCGTATCCATAGTTCCTTAGCTCCCCCATATGCCCACCCACATGTTGGTGTTGAATCCCAGTAACTTGCAAACGAGTTTGCTCAATATGAAGTCTTGAGACTGGAAAACTCTGATTGTAGCTCCAACTGGCTCCCCATTTTTTCCATTGGCTCCAAAGGTTTCCGCCTGGTCAAGAAACATAAGAAACTGTTACAAATGTCAGTAACGATACAAGATTAAAAAAAATGTTTTGAGGCATGTTGAAGCAATGTCGAAACTTCATGCTGATGGTCTTTACCTTCAGCGCTGGGAAGCCTCCACAACATCTTTGAAGGTGTAGAAACCCTTGGCGGCAGCCACTGCATCCAATGGATTCACCTTCGAGAACATGTTGTTGGTGACCTGGGAATCAACGATGCCAGCCATGGAATTGTACACATCCATCACAGTTGTCTTCGGCACGGATGCCACCAAGCGCCCAATGGCTGCATTCACAGCTTCGTAGTCGGCCGCAGACGTCACACCGGTGGCATCAATGCTGCCAATGGCCTTGTGGTGTGCCTCTGCTGCTGCCTTCAAGAGGTTGCCATCCATCTTGGCGCCCATCACGATCATCTTGTCAATCGCTTTCAGCGTCTCTGGGGCAGTCTTGCCGGGCAGCGGCTTCAGGTAAACGTCCGACAGCCAATCGATGTCCTTGATGAAAGGATAGGATGCATCGGACAACGCTTTTGCAGCTACACCAATCTTGTCCCCAGAAGGCACAACTGCAGGAGCACTGGCGGTGGACACCTGGTTCTTTTCAACAACATCCTTGAATTCCAGGAATCCTTGGTAGGCCTTCTCGGCATCGGGTCCATTCACCAAGGACTTCATGTAAGCTGGCACTCCGGGGTCCGTGATGGCTTCACTGAATCGTAAACGGCCATGACCTTTGCTTTTGGGACCGAAGCGACGATGCGGCCAATGGCTGCATTCACGGCATCCCAGTCAGCGCGCGAAGTCACACCATTTGGCCCGCTGATGCTCCCGATGGCCTTGTGATGTGCTTCTGCTGCCTCCTTCAGAAGCTTGGGATTTGCGGCTGCCCCCATTTCGATCATCTTGTCAATGGCTTTCAAAGCTTCCAAGGGCTGAAACTTGCCGGGGGCTTGCAAGAAAATGCCATTGTTCCAGTCCACTTCCTTGGCAAAGGAGTAGGAAGCATCCCCAAGCTTCTTTGCAGCATCGCCGATCTCATCAGCAAAAGCCGCAGGAGCCATCATCATGCTGGCTGCTGCTGCGGCCACTGGAGCAGCATGCCGAGGCCCAGGCACAAAATTCAAATGCTTCTGCAGACCGCATGCAACAGCCACTGCAACTCCTACAGCAATAGCTCTCCTTGCTCCACGCACCATAGCCACCAAAAGTTCAAAAGTCTTAAAGTGGGCCGGAGTTGCTCAACAATTAGCCTCAAAAACTGGTTTGAGCCAAAGATGCGTATCCATAGTTCCTTAGCTCCCCCATATGCCCACCCACAGTTGGTGTTGAATCCCAGTAACTTGCAAACGAGTTTGCTCAATATGAAGTCTTGAGACTGGAAAACTCTGATTGTAGCTCCAACTGGCTCCCCATTTTTTCCATTGGCTCCAAAGGTTTCCGCCTGGTCAAGAAAATAAGAAACTGTTACAAATGTCAGTAACGATACAAGATTTAAAAAATGTTTTGAGGCATGTTGAAGCAATGTCGAAACTTCATGCTGATGGTCTTTACCTTCAGCGCTGGGAAGCCTCCACAACATCTTTGAAGGTGTAGAAACCCTTGGCGGCAGCCACTGCATCCAATGGATTCACCTTCGAGAACATGTTGTTGGTGACCTGGGAATCAACGATGCCAGCCATGGAATTGTACACATCCATCACAGTTGTCTTCGGCACGGATGCCACCAAGCGCCCAATGGCTGCATTCACAGCTTCGTAGTCGGCCGCAGACGTCACGCCGGTGGCATCAATGCTGCCAATGGCCTTGTGGTGTGCCTCTGCTGCTGCCTTCAAGAGGTTGCCATCCATCTTGGCGCCCATCACAATCATCTTGTCAATGGCTTGCAGCGTCTCTGGGGCAGTCTTGCCGGGCAGGGGCTTCAGGTAAACGTCCGACAGCCAATCGATGTCCTTGATGAAAGGATAGGATGCATCGGACAACGCTTTTGCAGCTTCACCAATTTTGTCTCCGGAAGGCACAACTGCAGGAGCACTTGCAGTAGCCACCTGGTTCTTTTCAACAACATCCTTGAATTCCAGGAATCCTTGGTAGGCCTTCTCGGCATCGGGTCCATTCACCAAGGACTTCATGTAAGCTGGCACTCCGGGGTCCGTGATGGCTGTCACTGAATCGTAAACGGCCATGACCTTTGCTTTGGGGACCGAAGCGACTACACGGCCAATGGCTGCATTCACGGCATCCCAGTCAGCGCGCGAAGTCACACCATTTGGCCCGCTGATGCTCCCAATGGCCTTGTGATGTGCTTCTGCTGCCTCCTTCAGAAGCTTGGGATCTGCGGCTGCCCCCATTTCGATCATCTTGTCAATGGCTTTCAAAGCTTCCAAGGGCTGAAACTTGCCGGGGGCTTGCAAGAAAATGCCATTGTTCCAGTCCACTTCCTTGGCAAAGGAATAGGAAGCATCCCCAAGTTTCTTTGCAGCATCGCCGATCTCATCAGCAAAAGCCGCAGGAGCCATCATCATGCTGGCTGCTGCTGCGGCCTCTGGAGCAGCATGCCGAGGCCCAGGCACAAAATTCAAGTGCTTCTGCAGACCGCATGCAACAGCCACCGCAACTCCTACAGCAATAGCTTTCCTTGCTCCACGCACCATGGCCACCAAAAGTTCAAAAGTCTTAAAGTGGGCCGGAGTTGCTCAACAATTAACCTCAAAAACTGGTTTGAGCCAAAGATGCGTATCCATAGTTCCTTAGCTCCCCCATATGCCCACCCACATTGTTGGTGTTGAATCCCAGTAACTTGCAAACGAGTTTGCTCAATATGAAGTCTTGAGACTGGAAAACTCTGATTGTAGCTCCAACTGGCTCCCCATTTTTTCCATTGGCTCCAAAGGTGTCCGCCTGGTCAAGAAACATAAGAAACTGTTACAAATGTCAGTAACGATACAAGATTAAAAAAAATGTTTTGAGGCATGTTGAAGCAATGTCGAAACTTCATGCTGATGGTCTTTACCTTCAGCGCTGGGAAGCCTCCACAACATCTTTGAAGGTGTAGAAACCCTTGGCGGCAGCCACTGCATCCAATGGATTCACCTTCGAGAACATGTTGTTGGTGACCTGGGAATCAACGATGCCAGCCATGGAATTGTACACATCCATCACAGTTGTCTTCGGCACGGATGCCACCAAGCGCCCAATGGCTGCATTCACAGCTTCGTAGTCGGCCGCAGACGTCACACCGGTGGCATCAATGCTGCCAATGGCCTTGTGGTGTGCCTCTGCTGCTGCCTTCAAGAGGTTGCCATCCATCTTGGCGCCCATCACAATCATCTTGTCAATGGCTTTCAGGGTGTCTGGGGCAGTCTTGCCGGGCAGCGGCTTCAGGTAAATGTCTGACAGCCAATCGATGTCCTTGATGAAAGGATAGGATGCATCGGACAACGCTTTTGCAGCCACACCAATCTTGTCCCCAGAAGGCACAACTGCAGGAGCACTGGCGGTGGTCACCTGGTTCTTTTCAACAACATCCTTGAATTCCAGGAATCCTTGGTAGGCCTTTTCGGCATCGGGCCCGTTCACCAAGGACTTCATGTAAGCTGGCACTTTGGGATCCGTGATGTCTTTCACTGAATTGTAAACGGCCATGACCTTTGCTTTGGGGACCGAAGCGACTATACGACCAATGGCTGCATTCACGGCATCCCAGTCAGCACGCGAAGTCACACCATTTGGCCCACTGATGCTTCCAATGGCCTTGTGATGTGCTTCTGCAGCCTCTTTCAGAAGCTTGGGATCTGCAGCTGCCCCCATTTCGATCATCTTGTCAATGGCTTTCAAAGCTTTCAAGGGCTGAAACTTGCCAGGAGCCTGGAGGAAAATTCCATTGTTCCAGTCCACTTCCTTGGCAAAAGAGTAGGAGGCATCCCCAAGTTTCTTTGCAGCATCGCCGATCTCATCAGCAAAGGCCGCAGGAGCCATCATCATGCTGGCTGCCGCCGCGGCCACTGGAGCAGCATGCCGAGGACCGGGAACGAAATTCAAGTGCTGCTGCAGAGTGCATGCGACAGCGACCGCAGCCCCAACAGCAATAGCTTTCCTTGCTCCACGCACCATGGCCACCAAAACTCAAAGTGGGCCGAAGTTGCTCAGTTGCTCAAAAAACAAGCCGCTAAACTGGCTTGAGCCAATGACATTTTGAAGAGGTAACGACTTGATCTGACACAATCAACTGCACATCTCTATACATCTGCATAACTGTATACTATAAGAGCGTCTGTTTACAACGAAAAAAAACTTACAAATTGCTGTCAAACCACAAGTTCAGGCTACAGAGAAAAGCACCTCTTGCGACCTTGCCATAAATTTTCTGAATCATCTGAATCCCATGTTCTTCAATGTCATGCTTATGATATACAGTTTTTATAATGTTGATACAGTTTTTCAAATTGCGGCAGTCGCTCTTTTGAGCTCCAGGGCATTGACATGCTCATCTCACGGATTGTGGGCGATTTGGCCGATGCCTTTGGTTACAAACAGATTTGGAAAAACCTGCTTTCCCAGAAAATCATCTACAGGTGGGTTTCCAACCTGAGTTTTCAGGAGGGTACTTTGTTGACAGGAAGAAACTGCTTATGAAAGAGATGACATCTTGGCATTGTGTAATGGCATCAAACCCCTCTATGTTTAAGCCCCGCCTCATTCTACCACCGGATTACTGCATGTGAAAAGACTCTCCACAGGCCTCAACCAAAAAAAACGAAAGAACATGAAAACACCATTTCGATTCGGCAGTCGAAGTGTGTCAGAGTAACCTGCCAAGTTCACTTTTGCTCCTTTCTTTGGCATTGCACCTGACAGCATTTGTCGCGCATCTTCCTTTTCCCATGCATGGCTTGAGAGGCTTCTGGGTCAAGAAATGTCAAGAAACTGTTGCAGATGTCCGTAACATTCTGTATCTATACAACAATTTAAAAAGTGTTCTGCTAAAGCATGTTGAGGCAATGTCGCAACTTCATGCTGCTGGTCTTCACTTTCAGCGCTGGGAAGCCTCCACAACATCTTTGAAGGTGTAGAAACCCTTGGCGGCAGCCACTGCATCCAATGGATTCACCTTCGAAAACAGGTTGTTGGGGACGCTGGAATCAACCACGCCGGCCATGGAATTGTACACATCCATCACAGTTGTCTTCGGCACGGATGCCACCAAGCGGCCAATGGCTGCATTCACAGCTTCGTAGTCGGCCGCAGACGTCACACCAGTGGCATCAATGCTGCCAATGGCCTTGTGGTGTGCCTCTGCTGCTGCCTTCAAGAGGTTTCCATCCATCTTCGCGCCCATCACGATCATCTTGTCAATGGCTTTCAGCGTCTCTGGGGCAGTCTTGCCGGGCAGCGGCTTCAGGTAAATGTCCGACAGCCAATCAATGTCCTTGATGAAAGGATAGGATGCATCGGACAACGCTTTTGCAGCTTCACCAATTTTGTCTCCAGAAGGCACAACTGCAGGAGCACTGGCCGTGGCCACCTGGTTCTTTTCAACAACATCCTTGAATTCCAGGAATCCTTGGTAGGCCTTCTCGGCATCGGGTCCGTTCACCAAGGACTTCATGTACGCTGGCACTCCGGGGTCCGTGATGGCTGTTACTGAATCGTAAACGGCCATGACCTTTGCTTTGGGGACCGAAGCGACAACACGGCCAATGGCTGCATTCACCGCATCCCAGTCAGCGCGCGAAGTCACACCATTTGGCCCGCTGATGCTCCCAATGGCCGTGTGATGTGCTTCTGCTGCCTCCTTCAGAAGCTTGGGATCTGCGGCTGCCCCCATTTCGATCATCTTGTCAATGGCTTTCAAAGCTTCCAAGGGCTGAAACTTGCCAGGGGCCTGCAGGAAAATGCCATTGTTCCAGTCTACTTCCTTGGCAAAAGAGTAGGAAGCATCCCCAAGCTTCTTTGCAGCATCGCCGATCTCATCAGCAAAAGCCGCAGGAGCCATCATCATGCTGGCTGCTGCTGCGGCCACTGGAGCAGCATGCCGAGGCCCAGGCACGAAATTCAAGTGTTTCTGGAGACCGCATGCGACAGCCACCGCAACTCCGACAGCAATAGCTTTCCTTGCTCCACGCACCATGGCCACCAAAAATTCAAAAGTTCTAAAGTGGGCCGGAGTTGCTCAAAAAACAAGCCGCTAAAATTGGCTTGAGCCAATGACATTTGAAGAGGTACGACTTGATCTTGACACAATCAACTGCAGCATCTCTATATATCTGCATAACTGTATAACTATAGAGAGCGTCTGTTTACACGAAAAAAAAACTTACAAATTGGCTGTCACCACAAGTTCATGGCTACAGAGAAAAGCACCTCTTGCGACCTTGCCATAAATTTCTGAATCCATCTGAATCCCAGTTTATTCAATGTCATGCTTATGATATACAGTTTTATAATGTTTATACAGTGTTCAAATTCGGCAGTCGCTCTTTGAGCTCCTGGCATTGACATGCTCCATCTCACGGATTTGGGCGATTTGGCCGATGCCTTGGGTTACAAACAGATGTGGAAAAACCATGCTTTTCCCAGGAAAATCATCTACAGGTGGGTTTTCCAAACCTGAGTTTTCAGGAGGGTTCTTTGTTGACAGGAAGAAACTGCTTATGAAAGAGATGACATCTTGGCATTGTGTAATGGTATCAAAACCCCTCCATGTTTAAGCCCCGCCTCATTCAACCACCGGATTGCAGCATGTGAAAAGACTCTCCACAGGCCTCGACCAAAAAAAACGAAAGAACATGAAAACACCATTTCGATTCGGCAGTCGAAGTGTGTCAAAGTAACCTGCCAAGTTCACTTTTGCTCCTTTCTTTGGCATTGCACCTGACAGCATTTGTCGCGCATCTTCCTTTTCCCATGGCTTGAGAGGCTTCTGGGTCAAGAAATGTCAAGAAACTGTTACAGATGTCCGTAACATTCTGTATCTATACAACAATTTAAAAAGTGCTCTGCTAAAGCATGTTGAAGCAATGTCGCAACTTCATGCTGCTAATGGTCTTCACTTTCAGCGCTGGGAAGCCTCCACAACATCTTTGAAGGTGTAGAAACCCTTGGCGGCAGCCACTGCATCCAATGGATTCACCTTCGAAAACAGGTTGTTGGGGACGCTGGAATCAACCACGCCGGCCATGGAATTGTACACATCCATCACAGTTGTCTTTGGCACGGATGCCACCAAGCGGCCAATGGCTGCATTCACAGCTTCGTAGTCGGCCGCAGACGTCACACCAGTGGCATCAATGCTGCCAATGGCCTTGTGGTGTGCCTCTGCTGCTGCCTTCAAGAGGTTTCCATCCATCTTCGCGCCCATCACGATCATCTTGTCAATGGCTTTCAGCGTCTCTGGGGCAGTCTTGCCGGGAAGCGGCTTCAAGTAAATGTCTGACAGCCAATCAATGTCCTTGATGAAAGGGTAGGATGCATCGGACAAGGCTTTTGCAGCTTCACCAATTTTGTCTCCAGAAGGCACAACTGCAGGAGCACTGGCCGTGGCCACCTGGTTCTTTTCAACAACATCCTTGAATTCCAGGAATCCTTGGTAGGCCTTCTCGGCATCGGGTCCGTTCACCAAGGACTTCATGTACGCTGGCACTCCGGGGTCCGTGATGGCTGTTACTGAATCGTAAACGGCCATGACCTTTGCTTTGGGGACCGAAGCGACAACACGGCCAATGGCTGCATTCACCGCATCCCAGTCAGCGCGCGAAGTCACACCATTTGGCCCGCTGATGCTCCCAATGGCCTTGTGATGTGCTTCTGCTGCGTCCTTCAAAAGCTTGGGATCTGCGGCTGCCCCCATTTCGATCATCTTGTCAATGGCTTTCAAAGCTTCCAAGGGCTGAAACTTGCCAGGGGCCTGCAGGAAAATGCCATTGTTCCAGTCCACTTCCTTGGCAAAAGAGTAGGAAGCATCTCCAAGCTTCTTTGCAGCATCGCCGATCTCATCAGCAAAAGCCGCAGGAGCCATCATCATGCTGGCTGCTGCTGCGGCCACTGGAGCAGCATGCCGAGGCCCAGGCACGAAATTCAAGTGCTTCTGGAGACCGCATGCGACAGCCACCGCAACTCCGACAGCAATAGCTTTCCTTGCTCCACGCACCATGGCCACCAAAAATTCAAAAGTTCTAAAGTGGGCCGGAGTTGCTAAAAAAACAAGCCGCTAAAATTGGCTTGAGCCAATGACATTTGAAGAGGTACGACTTGATCTTGACACAATCAACTGCAGCATCTCTATACATCTGCATAACTGTATAACTATAGAGAGCGTCTGTTTACACGAAAAAAAACTTACAAATTGGCTGTCACCACAAGTTCATGGCTACAGAGAAAAGCACCTCTTGCGACCTTGCCATAAATTTCTGAATCCATCTGAATCCCAGTTTATTCAATGTCATGCTTATGATATACAGTTTTATAATGTTTATACCGTGTTCAAATTCGGCAGTCGCTCTTTGAGCTCCTGGCATTGACATGCTCCATCTCACGGATTTGGGCAATTTGGCCGATGCCTTGGGTTACAAACAGATGTGGAAAAACCCTGCTTTTCCCAGGAAAATCATCTACAAGTGGGTTTTTCAAACCTGAGTTTTCAGGAGGGTACTTTGTTGACAGGAAGAAACTGCTTATGAAAGAGATGACATCTTGGCATTGTGTAATGGCATCAAAACCCCTCCATGTTTAAGCCCCGCCTCATTCAACCACCGGATTGCAGCATGTGAAAAGACTCTCCACAGGCCTCGACCAAAAAAAACGAAAGAACATGAAAACACCATTTCGATTCGGCAGTCGAAGTGTGTCAAAGTAACTTGCCAAGTTCACTTTTGCTCCTTTCTTTGTCATTGCACCTGACAGCATTTGTCGCGCATCTTCCTTTTTTCCCATGGCTTGAGAGGCTTCTGGGTCAAGAAATGTCAAGAAACTGTTGCAGATGTCCGTAACATTCTGTATCTATACAACAATTTAAAAAGTGTTCTGCTAAAGCATGTTGAAGCAATGTCGCAACTTCATGCTGCTGGTCTTCACTTTCAGCGCTGGGAAGCCTCCACAACATCTTTGAAGGTGTAGAAACCCTTGGCGGCAGCCACTGCATCCAATGGATTCACCTTCGAAAACAGGTTGTTGGGGACGCTGGAATCAACCACGCCGGCCATGGAATTGTACACATCCATCACAGTTGTCTTCGGCACGGATGCCACCAAGCGGCCAATGGCTGCATTCACAGCTTCGTAGTCGGCCGCAGATGTCACACCAGTGGCATCAATGCTGCCAATGGCCTTGTGGTGTGCCTCTGCTGCAGCCTTCAAGAGGTTTCCATCCATCTTCGCGCCCATCACGATCATCTTGTCAATGGCTTTCAGCGTCTCTGGGGCAGTCTTGCCGGGAAGCGGCTTCAAGTAAATGTCTGACAGCCAATCAATGTCCTTGATGAAAGGGTAGGATGCATCGGACAAGGCTTTTGCAGCTTCACCAATTTTGTCTCCAGAAGGCACAACTGCAGGAGCACTGGCCGTGGCCACCTGGTTCTTTTCAACAACATCCTTGAATTCCAGGAATCCTTGGTAGGCCTTCTCGGCATCGGGTCCGTTCACCAAGGACTTCATGTACGCTGGCACTCCGGGGTCCGTGATGGCTGTTACTGAATCGTAAACGGCCATGACCTTTGCTTTGGGCACCGAAGCGACAACACGGCCAATGGCTGCATTCACCGCATCCCAGTCAGCGCGCGAAGTCACACCATTTGGCCCGCTGATGCTCCCAATGGCCTTGTGATGTGCTTCTGCTGCGTCCTTCAGAAGCTTGGGATCTGCGGCTGCCCCCATTTCGATCATCTTGTCAATGGCTTTCAAAGCTTCCAAGGGCTGAAACTTGCCAGGGGCCTGCAGGAAAATGCCATTGTTCCAGTCTACTTCCTTGGCAAAAGAGTAGAAAGCATCCCCAAGCTTCTTTGCAGCATCGCCGATCTCATCAGCAAAAGCCGCAGGAGCCATCATCATGCTGGCTGCTGCTGCGGCCACTGGAGCAGCATGCCGAGGCCCAGGCACGAAATTCAAGTGCTTCTGGAGACCGCATGCGACAGCCACCGCAACTCCGACAGCAATAGCTTTCCTTGCTCCACGCACCATGGCCACCAAAAATTCAAAAGTTCTAAAGTGGGCCGGAGTTGCTCAAAAACAAGCCGCTAAAATTGGCTTGAGCCAATGACATTTGAAGAGGTACGACTTGATCTTGACACAATCAACTGCAGCATCTCTATACATCTGCATAACTGTATAACTATAGAGAGCGTCTGTTTACACGAAAAAAAACTTACAAATTGGCTGTCACCACAAGTTCATGGCTACAGAGAAAAGCACCTCTTGCGACCTTGCCATAAATTTATGAATCCATCTGAATCCCAGTTTATTCAATGTCATGCTTATGATATACAGTTTTATAATGTTTATACAGTGTTCAAATTCGGCAGTCGCTCTTTGAGCTCCTGGCATTGACATGCTCCATCTCACGGATTTGGGCGATTTGGCCGATGCCTTGGGTTACAAACAGATGTGGAAAAACACTGCTTTTCCCAGGAAAATCATCTACAGGTGGGTTTTCCAAACCTGAGTTTTCAGGAGGGTTCTTTGTTGACAGGAAGAAACTGCTTATGAAAGAGATGACATCTTGGCATTGTGTAATGGCATCAAAACCCCTCCATGTTTAAGCCCCGCCTCATTCAACCACCGGATTGCAGCATGTGAAAAGACTCTCCACAGGCCTCGACCAAAAACGAAAGACCATGAAAACACCATTTTCGATTCGGCAGTCGAAGTGTGTCAAAGTAACTTGCCAAGTTCACTTTTGCTCCTTTCTTTGGCATTGCACCTGACAGCATTTTTCGTGCATCTTCCTTTTTTCCCATGGCTTGAGAGGCTTCTGGGTCAAGAAATGTCAAGAAACTGTTACAGATGTCCGTAACATTCTGTATCTATACAACAATTTAAAAAGTGTTCTGCTAAAGCATGTTGAAGCAATGTCGCAACTTCATGCTGCTGGTCTTCACTTTCAGCGCTGGGAAGCCTCCACAACATCTTTGAAGGTGTAGAAACCCTTGGCGGCAGCCACTGCATCCAATGGATTCACCTTCGAAAACAGGTTGTTGGGGACGCTGGAATCAACCACGCCGGCCATGGAATTGTACACATCCATCACAGTTGTCTTCGGCACGGATGCCACCAAGCGGCCAATGGCTGCATTCACAGCTTCGTAGTCGGCCGCAGATGTCACACCAGTGGCATCAATGCTGCCAATGGCCTTGTGGTGTGCCTCTGCTGCAGCCTTCAAGAGGTTTCCATCCATCTTCGCGCCCATCACGATCATCTTGTCAATGGCTTTCAGCGTCTCTGGGGCAGTCTTGCCGGGAAGCGGCTTCAAGTAAATGTCTGACAGCCAATCAATGTCCTTGATGAAAGGGTAGGATGCATCGGACAAGGCTTTTGCAGCTTCACCAATTTTGTCTCCAGAAGGCACAACTGCAGGAGCACTGGCCGTGGCCACCTGGTTCTTTTCAACAACATCCTTGAATTCCAGGAATCCTTGGTAGGCCTTCTCGGCATCGGGTCCGTTCACCAAGGACTTCATGTACGCTGGACTCCGGGGTCCGTGATGGCTGTTACTGAATCGTAAACGGCCATGACCTTTGCTTTGGGGACCGAAGCGACAACACGGCCAATGGCTGCATTCACCGCATCCCAGTCAGCGCGCGAAGTCACACCATTTGGCCCGCTGATGCTCCCAATGGCCTTGTGATGTGCTTCTGCTGCGTCCTTCAAAAGCTTGGGATCTGCGGCTGCCCCCATTTCGATCATCTTGTCAATGGCTTTCAAAGCTTCCAAGGGCTGAAACTTGCCAGGGGCCTGCAGGAAAATGCCATTGTTCCAGTCTACTTCCTTGGCAAAAGAGTAGGAAGCATCTCCAAGCTTCTTTGCAGCATCGCCGATCTCATCAGCAAAAGCCGCAGGAGCCATCATCATGCTGGCTGCTGCTGCGGCCACTGGAGCAGCATGCCAAGGCCCAGGCACAAAATTCAAGTGCTGCTGGACACTGCAGGCAACAGCCACCGCAACTCCGACAGCAATAGCTTTCCTTGCTCCACGCACCATGGCCACCAAAAATTCAAAAGTTCTAAAGTGGGCCGGAGTTGCTCAAATAACAAGCCGCTAAAATTGGCTTGAGCCAATGACATTTGAAGAGGTACGACTTGATCTTGACACAATCAACTGCAGCATCTCTATATATCTGCATAACTGTATAACTATAGAGAGCGTCTGTTTACACGAAAAAAAAACTTACAAATTGGCTGTCACCACAAGTTCATGGCTACAGAGAAAAGCACCTCTTGCGACCTTGCCATAAATTTCTGAATCCATCTGAATCCCAGTTTATTCAATGTCATGCTTATGATATACAGTTTTATAATGTTTATACAGTGTTCAAATTCGGCAGTCGCTCTTTGAGCTCCTGGCATTGACATGCTCCATCTCACGGATTTGGGCGATTTGGCCGATGCCTTGGGTTACAAACAGATGTGGAAAAACCCTGCTTTTCCCAGGAAAATCATCTACAGGTGGGTTTTCCAGAGTTTTCAGGAGGGTACTTTGTTGACAGGAAGAAACTGCTTATGAAAGAGATGACATCTTGGCATTGTGTAATGGCATCAAAACCCCTCCATGTTTAAGCCCCGCCTCATTCAACCACCGGATTGCAGCATGTGAAAAGACTCTCCACAGGCCTCGACCAAAAAAACGAAAGAACATGAAAACACCATTTCGATTCGGCAGTCGAAGTGTGTCAAAGTAACTTGCCAAGTTCACTTTTGCTCCTTTCTTTGGCATTGCACCTGACAGCATTTGTCGCGCATCTTCCTTTTTTCCCATGGCTTGAGAGGCTTCTGGGTCAAGAAATGTCAAGAAACTGTTGCAGATGTCCGTAACATTCTGTATCTATACAACAATTTAAAAAGTGTTCTGCTAAAGCATGTTGAAGCAATGTCGCAACTTCATGCTGCTGGTCTTCACATTCAGCGCTGGGAAGCCTCCACAACATCTTTGAAGGTGTAGAAACCCTTGGCGGCAGCCACTGCATCCAATGGATTCACCTTCGAAAACAGGTTGTTGGGGACGCTGGAATCAACCACGCCGGCCATGGAATTGTACACATCCATCACAGTTGTCTTCGGCACGGATGCCACCAAGCGGCCAATGGCTGCATTCACAGCTTCGTAGTCGGCCGCAGACGTCACACCAGTGGCATCAATGCTGCCAATGGCCTTGTGGTGTGCCTCTGCTGCTGCCTTCAAGAGGTTTCCATCCATCTTCGCGCCCATCACGATCATCTTGTCAATGGCTTTCAGCGTCTCTGGGGCAGTCTTGCCGGGAAGCGGCTTCAAGTAAATGTCTGACAGCCAATCAATGTCCTTGATGAAAGGGTAGGATGCATCGGACAAGGCTTTTGCAGCTTCACCAATTTTGTCTCCAGAAGGCACAACTGCAGGAGCACTGGCCGTGGCCACCTGGTTCTTTTCAACAACATCCTTGAATTCCAGGAATCCTTGACCAAGCCTTGGTAGGCCTTCTCGGCATCGGGTCCGTTCACCAAGGACTTCATGTACGCTGGCACTCCGGGGTCCGTGATGGCTGTTACTGAATCGTAAACGGCCATGACCTTTGCTTTGGGGACCGAAGCGACAACACGGCCAATGGCTGCATTCACCGCATCCCAGTCAGCGCGCGAAGTCACACCATTTGGCCCGCTGATGCTCCCAATGGCCTTGTGATGTGCTTCTGCTGCGTCCTTCAGAAGCTTGGGATCTGCGGCTGCCCCCATTTCGATCATCTTGTCAATGGCTTTCAAAGCTTCCAAGGGCTGAAACTTGCCAGGGGCCTGCAGGAAAATGCCATTGTTCCAGTCTACTTCCTTGGCAAAAGAGTAGGAAGCATCCCCAAGCTTCTTTGCAGCATCGCCGATCTCATCAGCAAAAGCCGCAGGAGCCATCATCATGCTGGCTGCTGCTGCGGCCACTGGAGCAGCATGCCGAGGCCCAGGCACAAAATTCAAGTGCTGCTGGACACTGCAGGCAACAGCCACCGCAACTCCGACAGCAACAGCTTTCCTTGCTCCACGCACCATGGCCACCAAAA